TCAGCTGCACATCAGCCTGGGCAACAGACGTGGACTCCTCCTTTTTTTTTTTTTTTTTTGAGCGGAGTCTTGCTTTGTTGCCCAGGCTGGAGTGCAGTGGCGGATCAGCTCCTGAAAGGCTCCGGCCTCCCGGGTTTTACGCCATTCTCCTGCCTCAGGTCACGAGTTCGCTGGGATACAGGTTGCCGCCACCAGCGCCCGGCTAGTTTTTTGTATTTTTAGTCGAGGACAGGGGTTTACCATTGTTACGCCAGGGATGGTCTCTGAATCTTCTGACACGTGTTCCGCCCGTCTCGGCCTCCGCAAGTGCCATGGAACAGGCTTGAGCCACCGCGCCCGCCGAGATTCCACTCTCAAAAAAATTAAATTAGGCTAATAATAGCCGCATTGTTATGAGTTAAATCTTATTTGCCCGCAAGAATACTAGGTAATAATTGCCAAGCATTGTTATGAGTTAATCTAGTTGCCCACCATGACAGCGTGAGCTGTATCACACAAAAACCTGATAAAGAACTGTAGCCCAGCATTGTTATGGAAGTTAAGTCCATTTGCCTATGTTATGTGAGCGCGCCAAGATTAAAGCCTCCAGGAAAGGTGGGACAGGACCCCCTCCCCGCAGCGGCCTCCTTTGGCCGTAGAGATTTAAGTCTTTGCTTCCGCGTCACGTTCCCAAGCTGACTCCAGCCCTGGAGCAGAGGGGCGAGGACGTGGCGAGTCGAAAGGCACTGGGCCACGTGGGCAACTGGCAGCCTGTGGCCTGACAGGGGTCCAGTGGTACACCTGTGGCCTGTGTTTGCCTCCCGCTCGGTGGCTGCGAGAAGGCCAGTTTGCCTCACACTGTCATCCAGGGTCACATTACATCCCCTCCAGTGACATTCATCACACCGACCCACCATCTCAGCACTGTCCAGTACCACAAGTATACCCACTGGATAGACTGCGCACCGCAGTGGCACGGCTCACCCCCGTCACACGTGCTCTTGTCGCATGGGTCGTTATTCCATTCTGCACATGGTCCGGTCGGCACGCCAGGGCGACCTCGCAGGAAGTGGACTCCCGTGTGGGCAAGACAGATAATGACCAATACCAGTACAGCGCAGCTGGAGGCGTTTAGGGAGCCTGCGCCCGAGGGGCGGGCCTGCACAGGACAGACGCTGTTGGAGACTTGCCGCAGGGGCTTTTCAGCTTCTGCATCGTTCGCCTCGGGGCGGGGACCGCTTTTGCTCCCCGCCCTTCGGGGCTGAAGGAGGCAGTCGTCCTTTAGGGAATGGGGACCGTCCTGAGCGTGCCGGGAGCAAGGAGTGGCAGCCTGTGGTTTGTGTGTGGGCGGCGTGGCCGGTCCAATTAGGCCGATCCAGCAACGCGCCTCACTTTGGGTTGGCGGCTTTCTTGCTCGGCGTGTGCTGGCCTGTTTGGGGGCGGGTTGAATGCTAAGCCTCCTCGCTTTGGTAATCTCCCGGGCGCTGGGGCGGCGCTTTGTCTGATAATCCAGAGGCGGCGGGGACTTGCCCCGCCGACTGTCTTGGGCCCCAAGAACTGTTGGGTTGTGCCTGCACTGTGTGCATGGTCTTTGGGCTCCGCCGCCCGACATCCGGTCCCTCTCTCGCGCTCCTCCCCTCTCCGTGCCGGACACGTGGTTGGCGGACGGGGGCGTCCTGAGCTTGCGACTCGCGGACCCTAATGTCCATGCCACAGTCAGGGGCGGGCGCTGGGAGGCGGAGCGTGAGCTCAGCGACGGAGAAGTGAGGTTGGTCCTGGGGAAGGTTAGAGACGTGGCTGTTCCGCGTTGGCTTGAAGAGCTGGGCAAGTTTGGAGGCGTTGGGTTTTTGTTGCTTTTGTTGTTTGGGAGGGGATGGGGGAGTACAAGTCTGGCGTCGAAACGTTCGCTGGGCTACTGCGTGGAGCGCTGGTAGCTCGAACCGCCGCTCTGCTGAGCCTCTCGGCTTTCTCCTCTGTAAGTGGGCTTCTGAGCAACCCAACTTCCATGGGGCTTCTTTTGGGGATTAAATAAGGAAATGTCTGGACGCCGCACAGGCGCCAACGTTGGAAACCGAATGGTGCTCCTTAATGGAATGCCTACCCCTGTGGGAAATCCGGGAGCCGCGTAGGGACGGGGCTGCTTGTGCAGGTAGCGCGCGGGTCCAGGGCTGGGAGGGTAGGTTAGCCATTTCCTTTGCCCCCAGCCTCCCACGCGCAGCCATGACCCAGCAAGGATCCCGAGAGACATCATCAGTGACGCATCTCCGCCAGTACCTGCGGCAACCGCACCGTTCCAGGCCAAGCCTGACTATGGTGAGAGGACGGGTGGTTCCAGAGCCGTGATCGGGCCTAACGGACGGAGACTGTGGGCCTAAACCAGCCTCCACGACCTGTCACCCACGCTGAGCCCCCTCTGCTGTCCCAAATGGCTCCCCAACCACCTCCAGTCATCTGCCAAGTAATAGACTGAGGCAGCCCCTCGCAGGTTATGGAGGAATCTTGTCCCCAGACGCTCTCTGCTGCCCAAGTTACTCATGGCAGCATGGTTAAGGAAAAACTTTCCCTCACTCCCCAGGGCAGGAGTGGTGGGGGGATCCCTCAGGCAGCCACAGGGGAAGGAGAAGCCGCTCCGAGAAGCCCACTGAGGCTGGACAAGCCACATTGCCTTAGGGAATCAGCTTGAGTGGTTAGGACTGGAGGGTGTGCTCCTTGCGCTTTTTCATCCCAGCGGCTTTCAGAATGGTTGAGGCTGGCAGATTGCTTGGGCCCAGGAGGTTCAAGACTGGCTTCGGCACACATGTGCAAAGACCTGTCTCTACAAAGAAATACAAAAATTTAGTCAGGACGGTGGCGCACCGGGTGAGTCCCAGCTACTCGCGGAGGTCTGAGGTGGGAGAATCACTTGAGCCTGGGAAGTCTCGATGGTTGCAGTGGAGCCAAGGGATCGCACCGCTTCACTGCAGCCTTGGTGACGAGTGAGACCCTGTCCCCCCCCCAGAAAAGAAACAAGCTCTATGCTATGGGCCCTGAGCGGGGACAGGACCCTGCCAGAGGAGCCTGGAATGAGGGGGAGACCTGGGTCCACCCCAGGGCGAATTGTTTCTCCAGCCCCTCATGCTGAAGACACTCCCTTCCCCCTACACCTCCCCAGGGGTGCGGGTCACCAGCACTGGGAGGCCAGGCCATGGCTCGTTCTTCATTGAGGACACAGCAGCAGAGAAGCTGGTACGTGGCACCCCGGGAGGGAGTCTGGGAGTTCAGGAGGCTCTATCCTGAGACCACTGTCCCATTTAACCTCATATTCTCGTAGCACAAGGTTGTGAGCTCCATCCTGGCATTCCGGGAGAAGGAATGGCAGAGGTGAGGCAGTCTGGGAAGCGGCGGGGTGGCTCTGGGAGGCGGCACCACAGAGGAGAGTCTGAGCCACCTCTTTTATCTGTTGCTGCTGCTTCCCTGTCCCCACACCACAGGCTGCAGTCAAACCCCCACCTGAAAGAGGGGGCTGTGACGTCCGTGAACCTGACTAAGCTAGAGGGTGGCGTGGCCTATAACGTGGTACCTGCCACCATGAGCGCCAGCTTTGACTTCCGTGTGGCACCGGATGTGGACTTCAAGGTGCCACCTCCACCTGGGTTTGGAGGAAGGATCCTGGGTCCTCAGTCTTGTCCTAGAGGCCTCTGGAAAGCCTGAGGGATCAGCTCATCTTCCTTCTCTTAGGCTTTTGAGGAGCAGCTGCAGAGCTGGTGCCAGGCAGCTGGTGAGGGGGTCACCTTAGAGTTTGCTCAGGTATGGACTTGGGACATGTGATGGGAGAGTGTGGGAGCTGGGGGAGACCCAAGTGTGCAACAGTGGAGTGTGTGCTTGGTGTGTCTGCATATGTCTGGGCATTTCTTTATCTGTGATAGACACATTTTATTCCAACAAGCATTAGTTTGTAGATGCTACTGTGGGTGCTGGGGAATGCTGTGGGGAATAAAATTAGGCACAGTTCACGCCCCTGTATGGTGAAACAGGGAAATATAAATCAAACATTTATATGATATTACTTTTTTCTGAGAGAGTCTCACTCGGTCACCCAGGCTGCAGTGCAGTGGCACAATCTGGGCTCACCTCCCTCCGCCTCCCGGGTTCAAGCAATTCTCGTGCCTCAGCCTCCAGGTAGCTGGGATTACAGGCACCTGCCACCACACCCAGCTAATTTTTGCATTTTTAGTAAGAGACAGGGTTTCACCGTGTTGGCCAGGCTTGTTCTCGAACTCCTGGCCTTCCAGTGGTCCACCCCACCTTGTCTCGCAAAGTACTGGGATTACAGGCATGAGCCACTGTGCCCAGCCTACTTTTATATAATAACATGTGGTACAGAAAAGCGTGGCCCCTTGCACTCTGAAAACCTCTAACTGGAGTATCCAACAAGTCTGAGGTCTGGGGAGCCATCTTGAGGAAGGGGCACTTGGGCAGGATCTGAAGGATGGCCCAGGAGGTAAGTAGATGGAGGGTGGGAACATCCAGACCTAGGACATTTGAGGGCTGAAAGAGGATCTGTGGCCGGACTGGCCACCCAGATGTCTGGGTAGGTGAAGGAGTGGGTGGGGAGATGTTCCTTGTGGCCAGGCACAGCCCACTCTTCATAGGGAAATAGGGCAACATGGGCCCCAAGGCCCATGTCCTGATCCTGCCATCCTTCCGTCCCTCAGAAAGTGGATGCACCCCCAAGTGACACCTACTGATGGACTCAAA